TTGATATGTGCAAGAAATCTTCTGTACATTAATAGCTACAATAAAATAGTTAAAAGTTTTGAAAACAAAGTGGAACAAAGATTTCCTTGTGTTTATTCAAGAGCATAAGCATAAAACTTGTGAGTTTAACCTGGTAAACTTTACATGACAAAGTACAGTTAATTAATGTGAACATTGGAACAGAAATATCCTGTATGACATGGTTGATCTCAATAAACACTGATGTTAGTTTGGTTAAAAATAACAGTGAAATACAATTATATCACCCCAAACTTTGAATATTCAAAGTGAGTTGCTAAAGTTTTATTTGGCGAAAACTTTCATTAAAATGTCTCGTGATATGTGCAAGAAATCTTCTGTACATTAATAGCTACAATAAAATAGTTAAAAGTTTTGAAAACAAAGTGGAACAGATTTCCTTGTGTTTATTCAAGAGCATAAGCATAAAACTTGTGAGTTTAACCTGGTAAACTTTATATGACAAAGTACAGTTAATTCTTTAGTTTTTCACTCGGTTTTACATTTAAAGTGTTAATATTATAGCTATGGATTTTGTTTAATATGCTCTTCAAGGATTGTTGAGAGTCATTAATGCTAGATAGAAATATATCCCTTCCTATAGATTATTTCAACCTAAAAAGTCATTATTTGTTATACTATTTAAAGCAAACATTGGTATTCACAATCTCTAAAAGTTAGTTTTAGAAAATGCACGAAATTTTGTTTCCCTAGTATGAAAAAGGCATATAATTGAGTTTCCTGTGTTATGTCTTTTAAAAGTAGAAATTAAAAATATTATTCTCTCAAAAAGGATATACCTGCTTAATTAATATGCAACAGTAATGTTTTTCTGTTCTTATACTCCACGTATCTTTGTGGAGAAATAATAAAAAGGAAGACCGCTACTTAGCATTGAGTTCAGTTTCAACGTGTGCTCCTTCCGTATCTCATAATAGTTTTATTTTCTCTCGCTAGATGGTAGCACACAATGTTCTTATTCAACAACAGTTTGGGATATTTCATTGCACATCCATTGATATCTGCCAGAACAATTTCGCTAAAAAGTAATAAATAAATAAATAATTCTTTAAATTAATATTCAAAGTATAAAACAGTAGATAATTTTTATGCAACTGACACATCTGTGTATATGTTATTGATGTCTAAGTTTCATAATATCAATTTCTTACATATCACGAGGGTCTATCTGCGTTAGCCGTCTCTAATTTAGCAATGTAAGACTAAAGGGCTACTCTTTTACCAACGAATTGTGGGATGAAAGGGGAAGCATACTTGCCCTGAGGGGGATTCGAACCCGCGACTCTCAGATTGCCGGGCCTACAAGAGTAGATAAGTTTGATTAATAAGTATTGAACTTCTTACCTGCTTGGTCTATAACATCCTATCTACATCTTCTTTATCTTTCACTGACTTGAACATCCTAACTACATTTCCTTTATCTTTCACTGACTTGAACATCCTAACTACATTTCCTTTATCTTTCACTGACTTGAACATCTTAACTACATTTCCTTTAACTTTCACTGACTTGAACATCCTAACTACATTTCCTTTATCTTTCACTGACTTGAACATCCTAACCACATTTCCTTTATTTTTCACTGATTTGAACATCCTAACTACATTTCCTTTATCTTTCACTGACTTAAACATCCTGACTACATTTCCTTTATCTTTCACTGACTTGAGCATCCTAACTACATTTCCTTTATCCTTCACTGACTTGAACATCCTAACCACATTTCCTTTATCTTTCACTGACTTGAACATCCTGACTACATTTCCTTTATCTTTCACTGACTTGAACATCCTAACTACATTTCCTTTATCTTTCACTGACTTATTTAATCTTTCACTGATTTATTTAATCCAGCAAGTAGTGTCTCATCTCGTGTATTGACGTCACGTGATGTAAATAGAAGGAGTGTATTGTGAGAATATGTTTTAAATGAGCAATATAGACGTTTATTTGAAGTATTGAGTTCATTTTGAATTATTATCCAATTATAAATGTGTGGGTAAGTCACGTTAAGATCCAGTGAATTCGTAGTAGTTAACTAAATTCAGCGTTGCTAGGTTCAGTATTGTGCATTGCTAGATTTAACTTAGTAAGCCACTTTATGTTCAGCGTTGCTAGGTTTAATTTAGTTCATTGCTTTACATTCAGTGCTGCTAGGATTAATTCAACACGTTTCTTTATGTTCAACTTTGCTAGGTTAAATTAGTTTGTTGCTTTATGTTAAGTGTTGCGACAAAGCATGTAAATGATACTGCAGACATGTAGCAGAAGGTTTTTTTTGGTCAGACGAGACAAAAATTTAGATTTTTGGTCTAAATTCAAATCGTTACGTCTGGCGCAAGCCTAACACAGCACATCACCCAGTCAACACCATATCACCTGTAAAGCATGGTGGTGGCAGTATCATATTATGGGGATACTTCTCATCAGCAGGGACTGGGAAGCTTGTCAGGATTGAGGGGAAGATGGACGGTAAAAAGTACAGCCAATAATCTAAAACTGTGTCGAAAATTCACATTTCAGCAGGACAATGACACGAAGCACGAGGCCAAAGCCAAACTGGAGAGGTTTCAAAAGAAGAAAGTGAATGTCCTGGAGTGGCCCAGTCAAAGTCGTGACTTGAATCCAATGAAAAATGTATGGCAAGACTTGAAGGTTGCAGTTCATCAATGATTTCTAATGAGCTTGTCAGAAATGGAGCAATTTTGCAAAGAATTGTGGACCACAATTACACCATCCCATTGTGCAAAGCTGGTAGAGACCAATCCCAAAAAACTCACAGCAGTAATTGCTGACAAAGATGCTTTCATTAAGTACTGACTTAGGGGGCTGAATACTTGTGT